GTAGGCGTCCGGGGATTGCCAGGGGAGAGGGACAGGGGCGGAGGAACCCGGGCGAGGCAGGTGGAGACAGCTGCATAATTTATTGAACCAACTTTGCCTACAAAGTAAACCGCATTTCTGTACACCAGAAGAGTTGGAAATGATTTTCTTGGTTTTCGGAGCATCTTGACCCAAGAGGAGGGAACTGGTTGCTTCATTCCTGAGCAGAGAACCCCGCAGATCCACCAGAGATGAAAGGCCTGGCTAAGGCCTGGGCAGCTTGGAGCCAGCACCGGGGACCCTGGGCCACAGCACCTTGAGGGGGGAGGGGCTCAGAGTTCTGGGACAACTGGACTGAGAGCCCACAGGGGTATGGGTGGACACCCAGCCCCGCCTCAGCTGCCTTGGTGGCAGCCCAACTCTACCTGGGGAAGTCTCTCCTGGGCAGGCCAGGCCTGGGGCCAGCCGGGGCTGCCTCACACCCAGGCTAAACCCAGCCCTGGCCTCTTGCTCCCTGGCTGGTCCCAACCGCCACTCCCCTCCACCAAGAGGAGCCTCTGCAGGGCCAGGCCTACCTCCCACCCCCAACACACCCTCCCAGATGCTCTGGGGCCCAGAGGCCAGAGTCCATATGGGGCTCCCACAACCACAGGGTGCCCCTTGGCCCCAGTCCTGGCAAGCTTGGCAGTGTTGGGCATTTATGCCAAGGGTGGGAATGGGCTGGGGTGACTGGGGGCCAGGTGCTGCAGGCACCGAAGGCCCGGGGACCTGGCCACTGCTTCTCGTGCTGCCTTTGGGTCTAGACGTCCCTGGACTCGAGGGCTTGGGCTTGAGGTCACCTCCAGGGCTCTCAGGGTAGTCACTGCAGCCAGCCCCTGACCTAGGTCAGACCCCAGACTGCCCAGGGCTCTGAGCCGACGTCTCCTGAAGGGCAGGTCTGCAGACCCCCAGGGGGAGCTGCTGCCCCAGTCAGGTGGGTGTTTGGGGGGAGAAGGGGTCAGGTGACAGCCCGTGGTCCTGGGAAGTTCTAGAAAGCAAGGAAGGAGACAACTTGTCAGAGTGGCACTGTCAAACGAGGGGCACCAGGTTTGGGGGGCACCACAGGCAGAGTGTCCACTGTGGCTCTCCCGAGCTGCACCCCTCTGCCCCATTTCCTGTGTCTCCCAGCCTCATGACCTTGGCCTGTGATTGGGCTGGCCCACCTCTGGGCATGCAAGGAGGCCCTAGGGCCTGGCTCTGGTTTGCACCCTGTGGGTCCAATCCCTGAGGGCCTGCTCACAGGCTAGTGGCCTCTGCCGCTTCTAAGCTCGACTATGGAGTGACGTTCCAGCACACATTGGGCAGGTGGCTGTGGTCACCTAGGGCCCACCTGGAGCCGGGATCTGCAGCAGGAGGCCTCAGCGCCCCTTTGTCCCTGAGCCTCCCTGCTCTGTCACCACTCCAGCCACCTCTCCTCCTGCCGGCCACACTGCCTGCTCTTCCCTCACTCCTCCATTCTTGTCCGCTCCTCTGTCCAGCTCCCTCCCCAAGCACCAGCTCGGCCTGCCCTATTCCCTGTCCATCCTGACCCCTTTGACGGGGATCTCCACACAGAGGCCATGTCCCGTCCCCAGGCCTACCCACCCTGTTGGGTAGGGGTTTCTGCCTCACAGTCACAGTCACTCTCAAACCAGCGTCCCGGAGAGGGCCTGGCCTGGCTCAATTCTGTGTCCGCGAGCCCAGAGCCCAGCGCAGGCCCTGTCTATGGGTGAGATGGCAGTGCCCTCCCAGCAGTGGGCACATCTTGCTCGCCAGCCCTTACCAGGGGCAGCTCACTCCTCTGGTCCAGGCCCCTCTCAACTCTGCTTCTACCAGCCCCTGTGGCTCGTGGGTGGGGGACATGAGGTTGGCCCTGGACTGTGAGTCCCTATAGGAGAAGGCCTTCCTGTCACAGCCCATCCCAGAGCCTGACTGAAGGAGACAGGGCGTGCCAGTCTGAGGGGACATGTCAGGGCACCCTCAGGCTGGCAGGCTCAGTACCTGAGGCTGGGCGCGGGGCGCTGGGAGGGCGCTTGGGCCCAGCCTGTTCCTCTTGTTCTTCTGGGGCCCTCCGTGGGCTCTGGGGGAGTGCAGTCCCTTCCTGCTGGGATTCCAGGTGGCTAGAGGGGAGGGGGCTGGAGGGAGGGAGAAAAGCTGGAGCCCCATCCTCCCTTGGAGCCAGTCTCAAATGAAGTTTCTCTGGGATGGTCCACCAGCCGTGGGCTCCCCAGACCACACCTTTGGCCCAGCCAGGGACCAGTGACCACTCAGCCAAGGCAGCCCCTAGCCTCACCCGCCTCCACCAGCCAGAACGCACACTGGTAGGACTCAGTGAGAGGGGGCACCCACCACAGGCCGGGCTCCCTCCAGGCCTGAAGCCCAGCCATGGCCAGATGGTCACAGCTGCCCGAGTCGGGTTCCGCGGTGGAGGTGCTGGCGGCCAGGTGTTCTGGCTCGTGCTGAGGTAGCTGCTCTGAGGGTGTCCAGGCCTGGGGAGGAAAGGGGCTGGTTTGTGGACCCTGGCCCTGAAATGGTGTTCGGGCAGGGCACAGTCAGGATGGGAGCCCTGGATGCTGGCCCACTGTGGGGTTGGAGCCCTGAGCTGCTCGGGTGCGGGGGCGTACCTGGCACTGGTGTCTACGCTCGCGTAGGCCTTTGATGGGGTTCCCACAGAGGACCTGGCCAGCACCTGGAGAAGAGGGCAGGGCTGGGGCTGGTCTGGGGTCACGGGGCTGCAGGGCCAGCTGCAGGCTGGGGCCGGCCGGTTACCATGGGTGAGGTTGCTGGCGTTGTCCTCTGAGGCCAGGTCATCCGGAAGCAGGCCTTCAGGCGCGGGGCCCCCGGGTAGCAGGGAGAGGGGCCAGGGCCTGGGGGTCCGGGGCTGGGTCTCAGGCAGGGGCAGCTCTGGGTCTCCATGGGGGTGATCTGTGTGAGGGGCAGAGTCAGAGGTCTCAGGGCCCACGCCAGCTGGCCAGTCCGAGAGCTCACCACACACTGTCCACAGACCGGGGACCTGACACCAGCGAGCTGTGCCCCAAGCCAGCTTCTGACACTCTACTCCCATCTGGAAAGACCATGAGCCTCCCACCATCCTCTCCCTTTGCAGAGGGATGGGGGCTCCTGGAGCTACTCAAACGGACAGTGTCCTGGCCCAGGGGCGAATGTGCACGGCTCTGGGGACCAGGGTAAGGATGTGGCCGTTGAGCTCTGAGAGGCCTGGCGGGCTGGGGAGAAGACTTTCCCTGGTAGGGGACTGGGGTGGGACTTCTCCTTTCGGGGAGGGGCTGGATGGGAGACCTCTCCTTCCCAGGGGCTGAGGGGGAGACCTCTCCTCTTGGAGGGGTGGGAGGGAGATCTCTCTTCCTGGGGAGGTTTTTTGGGGAAACTCTCCTCCCAGGGGGCTGGGGAGACCTCTCCTCCTAGGGGGCTGGGGAGGTCTCCCGGGAGGTCTGCAGGCAGGTGGGGGCTGTACCCAGCCAGGGGAGAAGCCTGCCCAGGACGCGGGTCTCCTTGATGGCCTCCTTCACCATGAGCCAGTCCTGGTTCAGCTTCAGCGGCGCTGGCAGGCCCGTGTGCGTGGCCGGCACCTCGTCCAGGACCTGCAGCTGGGGGATGAGCTTCCTCACCTCTGCCCTGTAGTTGTAGTCCACGGGCACCTGCAGGGTGGAGGGTGAGGGGTGACAGGCCTGGGTCCAGGGTCCTTCAGACCAACTCTGCCCAGGGCTCCCTCTCCCAGACCCTGCGTAAGGTTAGGACTACCTTGGGTCAGTCTCAGTCCGTTGGGACTGCAGGAGCCTGCACTCGGGATGAGAGACTCACTCTCTGGGCCCACAGCAGGGTCTGGCCTGTAGAGCAGCCAGTATGCACAGGGGAACAAAGTCCCAGCATGCAGTGCCACCAGGTGGCAGCTCATGGGGCAGGCACGTGAGCTCGCTTGCCGGGCCTGTGACAGCTTCAAGCAGGGCATGAGCCGCCCTGATGCATGGGTGCATTCC